GGTGGCTGTACTCTGGGCATGGCCCCTCGCCACAGCGCCTGCCGCCACTTCTCCTGTGTGAGTTTACACAGGAACAAGCCCCGGCCGGGCGTGAGAAACTCCGCCAGCGTTTGAATGAGGAGAAGCTGGAGATGCTGCGATGGAAGCTTTCGGCCTCTGGAGTACCTGAGGGGGAGGCAGGCCTGCCACTTACAGTGGATGCCATCAATGATGCCTCTGTGGAAGAAGACTTGGCAGTGGCTGTGGCAGGCGGCCGGTTGGAAGAAGTGAACTTCCTGCAACCCCACCCAGCTCTGCGGCGGCGTGCTCTGCTGCAGGCTTCGGGTGTGCGAAGGATCGACCGTGAGGAGAAGCGGGAACTGAAGGCGCTGCGCCAATCCCGTGAGGACTGTGGCTGTCGCTGTGATAGGGTCTGTGACCCTGAGACCTGCAGCCGCAGCTTGGCGGGTATCAAATGCCAGAGGGACCACACAGGGTTCCCCTGTGGCTGCTGTAAGGAGGGCTGTGAGAACCCCAATGGCCGTGTGGAATTTAATCAGGCACGTGTGCAGACCCATTTCATCCACACGCTCATGCGCCTGCAGCTGGAGCAGGGGGCTGAGAGCCTTGGAGAGCTGAAGGCCCCTGCACAGGGCAGCCCAGCCAACCCTGGCGAGCAGGACATGGTGTCCTCTTTCCCGCTGGCCAGCCCCCCAGCAAGCAGTGAGCTTGGAGACAATAGCTGCAGCAGTGACATGACCGATTCTTCCACGACATCTTCCTCATCAGGCGCTAGTGAGGCCCCAGACCACCCCACCCATCCAGGCCTGCCTGGTCCTGGCTTCCAGCCAAGCATGGATGATGACAGCCTGGCACGGATCCTGAGTTTCAGTGACTCTGACCTTGGTGGGGAGGAGGAGGAAGAGGAAGGGGGTGTGGGGAACCTGGACAACCTCAGCTGCTTTTACCCAACTGACATCTTTACTGGTGACCCTGGTGGCCTGGCCAGCTGGACCCACAACTATTCTGGCACTAGCTTTGTGCCTGGTATCCTGGATGAGAATGCCAACCTGGATGCTAGCTGCTTCCTAAATGGCTTTGAAGGGTTGAGAGAAAGTAGCCTCCCTGGCACCTCGGTGCCACTCAGTGTGGACATTCACCAGAGCAACTCAGTGGACCTCAGCATGTCTTCCTGCGACTCCTTCGAGCTACTCCAGTCTCTGCCAGATTACAGTTTGGGGCCTCACTATACCTCCCAGAAGGTGCCTGGCAGCCTGGACAACCTCGAGGCATCCCACGGCCCCTTGCCTTGCCTCTCTCCACCGGGGGATGGCAGCACTTGCTTCCTGGAGTCCCTCATGGGCTTGTCTGAACCAGTTGCTGACTCCGTGGCCCCCTTCATCAACAGCCAGTTTGAGGACACTGCCCCGGCCTCTCTGGTAGAGCCTGTGCAGGTCTGAGGTACTAGGGTACCTTTCACCTGCCCCAAGAGCCCTGTTGCTGCTTTTTTTGTGATTTGGGGGCTCCCCAAGGTCTGTATATAACAAGTTTCCTATTGGCTGGCTCAGCCACGGGTATGTGGGCACTCCTGGTTTCCATGAAACACTCTGAATTTATTTATTTATTAACTTTTGTATGCTGAAGAGAGCAGGAAGGGCTTCCCCCTTTCAGCGGCCTGGCCCCCCACACCCACACAGTGCTCTTCCACCTCCTCAGCGTGGGCCAGGAAGAGAAGACATGGCTCTTCTGGAGCTTCGCAGACCTCTTTTCAGTCTCTGTATGATATTCCTTAGCCCAAGGACAGTGGAACGGGGCTCATCAGCCTCTTCGGGCTTCTCAACGCCGCTCTGAGCCCTAGACCCATGGGGTGGCTAGATCCTCTGGACTGTGAAGACTGTAATTTATTTCCATAATTTATTTGGAGACTGTAGCAGCTTTAGCTGTGCCTCTTTGGCTGGTAGGTAGTACTGGGGGCAGGGTCCCTTTTGTCCTGCATCCTGTCCTGCCTGGGCTTTGGTGTATACCAGGTGTGGATGCAAGCCCTGTGGTCTCCTGTTGGTTGCCTGGTTCGGGGATGGCTGTGTAAGCAGGTGCTGGGCTGGCCAGCTGTGACCAAAACCCCCTTATGCCTGCCCTACCCAGCCCCTTTGCTTCCTGCCCTCTGATCGACTTTCTCCCCTCCAAAAGGCAGTGGCCTCTGTTCCCAGCGTGTAATATAGGATAGGAGGGGGAGACTAGATGCCCGGAAAGGGCAAGGGACTTGCCTTGGTATGAACACCACCCTGCAGGGCTTTGGGGCACTGTACTCCATCCCAGCCCACCATGTACCCCAAGGCCAGTTGCTAAGGGGTGGCTCCTTAGGGCTTTTATGCCCTTTGTTTGCTGATGTTGAATTATGAATTTTGAATTTTACATTAACTTTTATATTGTCCCTCAGTGTCAGAACTATAATTTATTCATTTCTCTGTGTGTCTGTGCCAAGAAAGCTAGGCTCTGGGCCTGCCCCTTTGCCTAGGCAGCCTTGACAGCCTGTGCTGTGGGAACACATTGTACCTGAGCTGACAGGTACCAAAAAAAAAAAAAAAAAAAAAAAGCAATGCTGGGCATCACAACATCTGACTTCAAATAATGCTACAGAGCAATAGTAATGAAAACTGAATAGAAGACACAGAGACAAACCCACACAGATATAGCCATCTGATCCTTGACAAAGGTACTAAAAGATACATTGGAGAAAAACAGCCTTTTAAACAAGTGATGTTATGCAGGGACCTGACTCACTGACCTGCACAGGAGCTCAGGGCCCAGGTAGGTCAGAGTCCATCCTGTCACCAACAGACACCCACTAGAGTCAGGCTCTGCCCAGTCCCACCTCACTGACCTGCGTGGGAGCCAGGGCCCAGGGTAAGCTTGGGTCTGCCCCCACCCCATGACCACCTGGTAGCTCAGGTCTAACCCACTTCCATCCTGAGACACTGCAGCCATCCCCATAGCCTTCCCATGCAGTAGCCTCTACCTTGGGACAACAGACAGGGAGTAGAAGCAGCTGCATCTTGGAGCAGTCATCCCAAAGCCAGTATAAGGCCCACCTTTTCAGACCCATCTCTGAAAGACATTGCATCCATCTTGGGGCACCTCCACTGCTATCTTGAGTTACCACCTGCTATTGCCACCACCTATAGTTGTTGAGATATGTAAAATCATGAGTAACAAATAAACATTTCATCTTCTAAAATTGTTCTTGTCACAACTTTTGGTCACACTAACAAAAATGCTGACTAAAACTCCACCCAACAGAGAAAACCCCAGGAACACAATGCTTCTCAGCTGAATTCTACCAGAATGTTAAAGGAGAATGCATGCCAAGATCCTCAAATTATTCCAAAAATAGAGTGGGAATTCTGGAATACTGGCAGAGTCTGGAAGCCCAACACCAAGGTAAGATACAGATAATTTACACAGATGAGATTATAGGGTAGTGTGCGAGACCAAACTAGCACATAACCATGTATGTCTCCTCCTCTGCCTGGTGCAGCATCATGGGTCATTCTGTATTCTGGTTGTCTAGGTAAGCCAGAACTTTAGAGTGGAGCGACTGTGTTTTCATGCATGGGTGCATGGGCATGCCTTCCCACATCCCTAGGGATCCAATTATTTCACCTTGTAACCCTGCCCCCCTTGACCTTCATTGGATGGAAATTTCTAGAATTTAGAGCCCCCCTAATACAACATGCTCACTTTCTCTTGCCAGCCTCTCATGTGATTCCTTACTCTCCAGGTTGGGGAGCTTGAGGCTGAGGGCAGAGGAGCCATCCCTGAGTTTGAATTAAAGGTAAATTGTGTGTCTGTGTTTTATTTTGATGCCTTGGGAATTTTCCTCAAGTGACCTTTAGTTAGCTGTCTGTGTGGGTCGTAGGCAGCAGGGTAGACACTGTAGTATCTCAGATCCACACTGCAAGTAAGGAAATCACATAGATAACATGAAAAAACAAGGGAGGAAAGTGCCCCAAACAAACCAGGAAACTACAAAAACAGAACCCATGGACAGTACAGTTGATGATATATCAGAGAAGGAGTTCAGAATGTTCATGATTAAAATAATCTGTGAATTAAAGAATGACCTAAATGAGCAAATGTAGGCAAAAATTGATCAATCCAACAAAGATATAAGAGACCAAATACAGGCAATCAATGATGACACCAATAAACAGATAAAGGAGCAAATACAGGCATCCATTGATCACACCAACAAATACGGGAGCAAATAGGTAACAAAAGATTACTTCAAGAAAGAGAGAGATATTCTTAAAAAAAAACAATCAGAAATCCTTGAAATAAAGAAAAAATAAACCAAATAAAAAACTCAATAGAAAGCATCACCAACAGACTAGATTACTTGCAAGACAGAACGTCAGAGTAGAAAGACAAAGTATAAAATCTGGAAAATAAAGTTGACCACACAGTGAAGATGGTAAGGAATCATTAGCAGAACATCCAAGAATTATGGATTGCATCAAAACACCAAATATAAGAGTTATTGGGATAGAGGAAGGCACAGAGTTTCAAACCAAAGGGATGCACAATCTCTTCAATGAGATAATATCAGAAAATTTTGCAAACATGAAGAATGAACTAGAAAATCAAATACAAGAGGCTTACAGGACACCAAATGTACAAAATTACAACAGATCTACACTAAGGCACATTATAATGAAAATGCTAGCATACAGAATAAGGATAGAATCCTAAAGGCCTCAAGAGAGAGGCAACAGATCACATATAGGAGGAGATCGATTCATATCCCAGCAGATTTTTCAACCCAGGCTCTCAAAGCCAGGAGATCCTGGAAAAACATATACCAAGCTCTGAAGGAAAATGTATGCAAACCAAGAATCTTATATGATATATTTCTCTCTTATGTGGAAGCTACAGAGGAAAACCAAAAGAAAGGGATGGAAGGTCTTATGAAAATAGAAGAGAGATAAGTAGAGTAGAGTGTCGCGACCCCCCTTGCCCGCAAGGAAGACGCAACTCAGGAATCTTCTTTCAGCAGTTTATTCAGGCCCTTGATATTCTTCTAATAATTCTTCTACTACTCTTCTACTACACTTCGGATGCCCCTCCCAGCCTTAATAAAGCACC